TAAATTCATGTAAAATTTGCTATTCAAGTCACCTATATAAACCTCATAGGATAAGGAGCTGTGATGTGATTGCCAAGATCGAGACAAATATCCAATAGAGTTCAAATGACATGGACTAATAAAAATAAGAAGATGTGGTATGATTGCCAATGAGACAACTCTCCACAAGAGACCAAATGACACAAAAATTAACAACTAATAAAAAAAATCATACACCTTAGGCTAAAATATCAATCAGTACACATCCAACATCCAATGGATTTAGTATAAAGACGTCATTAACAGTCAGAGAAAAACACGACCTTGCGCAATGCCAAGATACAGGTATCGACAGATTGTAGAGCCATGAATGTGCATATGTATATAAAAATAGTATTTAGTTTGATTTTAATTTACTGATAACAAAATCAATATTAATACCAATAAAAACAATATTCAAAGATCTAATTATGGTGTTGAATTGGTAACCTTTTAGAAAAAGTTTATTTAAAGGATCGATGTTTACCCGAATCGTTTCTAAATTTCCGTGCTCGGTTAACAACATCTCCGTAAAAATTAGGATGTGCTATCCCGTTAAAAATAAGTTTTCTACAGGTACAACCAAACTTCCAAACCAAATCTTTATATCTATGGAAGAATTTAGTAAAGGTTTTAAGTAATTTGTGGTAACAAAATCCCTGACTTAATAATCAACCAGTAATACACAGATTACGTTCATTAAAATCCAAAACGTCACAACAGACACGGGCATAGCGAACGAGTTGTGATATATAAACACCGTAAGATGGTGACAAAGGAACATCACCGTCCAAAAAAGGAAAATTAACAATAGGGAACGAAAACTCGTCCCGTTTAAATGCAGTTTAGATGGGTCTTTACTGAGTTTGGTCAGGTGATTCATAACAGTACAACTATAAAAGGCTCGACTTGACAAATCGTGAAACAATTTAAGCAAGACCTGGTAATATATATGATAAAATAAATAAACAAATGCAAAATATGACAGACAACAATCAACAACAACTATTAAATTACAGGCCCAAGACATGGGACAACCACATAAAGAACGTGGCAGGGTTTAACATGTTTGTGAGCGCTCAACTCTCCCCTAACTTAATAAAGTGGTGTAACAGCACAACATAAGAACAAACTATTAAAATCGGCCAGGATTGGCTTAACTTATCAAATCACGAAAACAACTAACATAGAGTCAATAGACACAAAGTACTGATCTAAGAATACTCTCAGTTACTGAAAGCTGAGACTATTATACTATATAGTATGTCCCATCTGAAAGCTGTAGTTCAAAGCCAATTTAGATAATCTCCAAGACTTACGTATTGATGAGTACAAATGAAACGGGTGTGTTTAAAGACTTCATAAACAATCTATGAAAGGCGGGATCTTGTACAATGCCAAAAATAATTGATACATAGTATCGACTAAATATGTAGGACCATACGCTTTCATAACTGTATAGCTATATACATGCATGCAGAAGATATGTTGTGATTTATCTTAAACAAAATTATGAGCGTCTGGATGTCGTTTATAGAAAAGAGAAAAATGAGCAAACAAATAAAGAATAGAGAATAATGGGGTTCAAATGTATAAAGAATAGAGAATAATGGGGTTCAAATGTATAAAGAATAGAGAATAATGGGGTTCAAATGTATAAAGAATAGAGAATAATGGGGTTCAAATGTATAACGAATAAATGTGGTAAATAAACGAATAAGATAAACTAATAATGAGAATTTTTACAGAAGAAGCGTTATTTTTTAAGATTAAGAAAAAAGCAGTCAGATATAAAGAAATGAATTAAAAATGACCCCAGTAGTCAGTACGTTTGTAAACACTAAGGTTACTCTAACCCAGACATAGATAGCCTTAGCCGCATTTGTTACAACTTTTCTGATGTTTTTGGTTTTCAATGCTCTTCTTCTTCGTACTTCATTTGGCCTTCCAACTGTTTTGATTCGTTGATGAGTCTTATGAAGACGAATCGAGGCTCTTGACTTAGGGCATGCACATACAGAATGTTGTGAGGTTAAACATGTTTATGAGCACTCCACCCATCACTAACCTTGGACAGTGGTGTAACAGCATAACATAAGAACAAACTATAAAAATCAGTTGCTAATGATTCATCAGATTGACACGAAGCACAAAAAGCAAATAACATTAATTCAAAATATATGAAGTACCAATCTAAGAGTATTCGCAGTTACTGGGCGCTAGTTCAAAACCAATAACAACTAACAAGTTAATCATGTTCCCCCAAACTTAAGTATCAATCAGTACACATCCAACGGGTTTGGTGCAAAGGCTTCATTAATAGGATGTAAAAAGCACGACCATGTACAAAATATAAGTACATAATATCGACAGGATGTAGGTCCATAAATTTTTTTTAGTTATGTTTTAATTTCTCAAAAACAAGATCAATGCTATAGTATCGATAAACCGAGACACAGGAAAAGCGAACGAGTTCGGAAAAACACACTCCGTCAGAAGGGGCCAACGAAATATCACCGTTCAAAAAGGGAAAATGAACAAAAAGGAATAAAAAGCCTTCTCTTTTGTCATAACTTTTTGTTTGATTTCCCGTGCGAAACTAAAATATCTAAATCTTAAAAAGGACAAGTATTGCGGTTAATATTAGATTTATTTAAAGTAGAAACCCTTGGATTTCCGAAGTAAAGTAAGCAGATGTCATGATACATTTAAAGCAAGAATATTACCAAGGTAAGGGTTAATGGTATTAGATTCGTCAATTGAATAGCATTTAGACGTATCTTTAATGAGTTTGGCCATAAACTATGTACATAACAACACAGGAACAAGTCCACAATGTTTGCACATATTAAAACTTACATCCTGTCGATAAACTTTATTGCAGAAAGGAACATAAATATATGTTATAATGGAGAAAATTTACAGCTTTAATCATCTTATCATAGTTCCAGTAAGCGTATCTAACATATTAACCTTTTTCATTGCATAAGAAGCCTTCAAATGGGTTAATTGCAGCAAACAAATCGACAATCAGATTTTTCAAAGAACAATTCAATTAAATAATTGGGTTTGATTAGATTGTGTTGAAATATAGTGCAGAGTGTCGAAAAGTAATAACTATCAAGCGAATTGAAGGGAACATCAAAAATAAGTAACAGCCAAAGTGTTTTATACACTCAAAACATATTTTAATCCATTATTTTCATATGCTTAATTACAATAGTTGATAAGATTGTGTTCTTTTTTACATACTGCTTTAAAAGGGCATTAGCTGTAAAATTCATGTTCACCGATTTGACTCAAATTCTCATATTTAATTTATAACATACTAAAACGTATATATATCCAAATCATAAAAAGTCTAAAATAAACAATTTACGATGCATGGGCTCGATAATAAGTATCAGCGTTTCGTGTATTTCAGTCTAGACACCATCAAATTAACTATCGAGTTGACCTCCGAAGACTGCCGACCGTCATATAACCCGATATAAACATAAATATAGATACTAGTATAAATAGATAGCGAACGCGTGCAATTGGATTTGATATTATAGGCTAAAAAATATGTTAATCGTCGGTTTTACCTGTATAAGAATTAGTTTTTATGTGGATTGAATCAGTCAACCAAATGGCTTATCCTTGTTTCACTTTTAATGTTGATATTCTTTTCTTTTTAACAACTGAACGCGCCTTATTTATGCATACCCCATCGCTAGCTAAGGGGTTAAACTGAAGATCACATGAAAACTACAGATTAAATGAGGTCGAATTATTCACTTGCGAGTGAATAATTCATCAGCGATTTTTCTTAGCTTATTTTGACAAAATTGAACCAAACTGGCTGCTAAAAGCGAATTATTATTTCACTATTTCACTTTCATTAATGATTAAACAAAAAAAAATCATATTTTATTTGAGGTAAAAAGGAAAAACGTATACGGTAAAGATGTAGTAAGTGGAGATATGAAAGAAGTTGAATGCTTTAATTTCGATGGATTGCGATCTGGAAACTTAAATAAGATTATGATTGTCAACAGTTGTGTTGAATATTCTGTATGTTAATGTTAAAATGTGGAACACGTGCATGGAATCACCTAAGAAGACTTCAACGTGCTAGTTTGTCAAAGAACGGTTTAAACAGTGAATGCATCGGTCACTGTGTTTTTTTTTTTATTCTTGCATTGAATACATTCATTTTTGATTATCACAAACTCCTCCAATAAAATTAATATACACATGAGAACTTGAAAAATCATAATGATTAATCCCAACCACTGTTATTCTGATTGTTAAAATCAATTAAAACAATACAGTATCAAAACCTGGCTTTTTTGCTTTTACTAAATGGATATCATTATAATAGTCGGTCAACATTTGTATAAAATGTGCATTAAATTTTATCAAAAACGTTCCATATTATCTAGAAACGTAAGAATCAGTATGTTGTTGTCCCATATATTAAAGCGTCGTTTTTCAAAGCTTTTTCCTCTACTAGCTAGGTAACAGTTTGGTAAAACCGTTTAATACCTCGGGAATGAGTTAAGCTGGCCCGGACCTAATAATTATTTTATACGAATCTGGCAAGAGTCGGTACAGTATATATTATGTTCCAGTACCAATCAAGTGGAATTTTTTTGTTTAACATCTTATCATTTTTTTTTTGTATATACACATAGGTTGTGGTGTTTTGGTGATTTAAACTATGCAAAGATCCTGGGACTAATGCATGAATATTATAAATTGGTCCCAGCATGATCCAATATTACTTGAAAAAAACGGATTATTCACATTAATCTAATTAAGTCCATATTCGTTAATTAGGTATTAAACAATACCCCTTTTTTAATTTATTTCTTCAATATGGGTATTAGAATGTCCTAATTAGTGTTAATTAAATTATTGCATTCCTAATGACGGAGGTGAAAGAATACGGATAATTAAGTTTCTCCGATTATGTTTCAGCAAATACACACCGGAAAGAATATGTGCGCATGCGGAATTATTTGTTGTCAAGTTTGAACATCAACAAGAAATATGTGAAAATAGTCATTCCCAGATCTTTTATACCTCCCCGCGAACGAAACAGGTAACTGCACTTAAAATTTTTGATAGATCACCATTTAACATATTTAAGAATTAACAACAAATTGTTTTTCTGGACGAAAATGCTGTATTCTGTTGAACGAAATGCATGTGTCTAAACTTGCCAGACGAAATTGCGGCATAAGTAAAAATTATACAGAAATATGTACAACATCATCAACCAGGTTTTATGTTGATATATTGAAGGTATATTTTAAACGATCTGGTTGGAGGTATTCAGTGTAAACATACATGTATTTTAGTTTCTTCCTTCAAAAAACGAAAAACAATACACCTTATCACTATTTAGAAATCTGCCTTGGTTGACCCGAGAAGCTGCCCCGCTGGAAACTTTTGACGTCATACAACAATCACTTTTCCATTGTGGTGTCAGATATTTTCTATTGTGACGTCAAAATTTTAAGGGAACCTTTTGTGATGTCCAGTAATGGCGGACAAATAGCGATAAGGTGTATTTGATTTATAGCCTTCTTTTTTACTAACAGTAACACAGTCAGTAACAATTTCAGTTTGTGACCTATTTTTAAAGGACACTTTACTATGGTAACGGCATGCATGATGTCACAAATTTTACCCTGATTGGTGGAAATTATGGAGTTGAACAAAAAACAACGATAAAAGATATATATGCTACAAGAAGGAAAACATTACGCACATACTTGAGTGCTATAAATATATCTAATTATGAACTTTGTGTATTTGCAAGTGCAGTCTAAAACTTTCAAGGCATAAAAATAATCTCAAAAAGTACAAAATATTATACTTCTGAAATAAAGAATGTCAATTCAAAATACATATATCACAAATTTTCACAGAGTCTGCTTCTGTTATCAATCTTACATGTACCACATTACAGGCAATTTGTCAATAAACAAAGTGTCAATGTACAATTCTTTATGTCTAAAAATATGCACAAATAATCTAATATAATGCAGTCTTTAGCAGAATATGTTGATGAAAAGATGATGATTTGAATCAACTTCATTGATAGTGTAGTACATTTTGTCTGTTGTTATGTTTTGAAAGTTTATAAATGTAAATAAGTGAGGGTTATTGGAGTTTCAATTACTTTTTCAGCATTACAATGGCCACAGCTAACAGCTTTCTACAAAGTCCTGACAAGTTTTCGGGGAGTTATCCAGGACTTGCTCAACAGTTACCACAGCTCGCCACAGAAACCGAGCTGCAAAAGTTGTTGGCTGATGAACGAATGCGAAGTCAGATGCATAGAACTCATTATGAGCAACTTAAAACAGAACATCATAGGTAATAGTTGTTCATATTACGATATATATATATTATATTCAATAAAAAGATAAACTTTCATGTATGAAAACTCACAAGAAAAATTAATACCCTTGTTTCTGAGACATTTGAAAAGAAATCACTTTTGGGTTTTGATACATTGTAATTTTTACATCATACAATACATAAGCTTGTATGTATCATTATAGGTACATTTTCATACAGAAATAATAAATGGTTTGCTGGCTTAAGTATTTGCCCAGCTGTTAAGCAAAAAATAATCATTCAATATTTCTATATGTCATATTATTAGAGTAAAAAAAAAATACCCAGCTATATTTTGCGGAGATTTATTGTATTTAAATCTGAATCATAAAATAAGTTTTCTTTTCTTACAGACTTCAGGATGAATATGGAAAACTTGAGGAAGAAATTAAAAAGACTATTGAAGAAAGCAGGATTGTACAAGAAAAATACAAATCAATGTACGAACAAGGCAAAAAAGAAGTAGCCGAATTGCATGGTGAATTTGAAGAGGCCAAGAGCAAAGTATGTTTATTTTAGTAAGGAGTGTTGTTTGTCTGAAGAAACATTTTTACATTTAAACAGTATTACCTATACTTTAGTAAACTTGTGATCTATAGTTATTTCAACTTTTCAAATACTAGTTAAGTAGTCAAATGTACAGAGTCTAAAAGCCATAACTTGCAGAAAGCAGTTATTGCTATTATCATTTGTTTTTCTTTTTGGTTTACCTATAGATTGTAGTTATGACAATTAAAAGTACTACAAGGCATTATTTTAGTTTAAAAATTTCCTGAAATTTTTTTTTTATATACATAAAATTAAATTATCACAAGAATAATATTTTTGTTAACTGTATTTGTGAATTGCAGGTGGTGACTCCACAGAGATTAGAGATCATTCGCATGCAAGTTGTTGAAGAAGTGGAGAAAACATACAAAGAACGTTATATGAAACAGGAAGAGGAAATAGAAGAATTACGTACAGCATGCAATAAATTTAAATATGAACTGTCTTTTCTTAAATCAGAGTATGAGCATGAAAGGATAGAATGTCAGAGAATTTTAGAGGAATGTAGACTAAAACATGAAGCTGAGGTACTTGTATACAATAATAATACATATATGCAACTGCATTGGTAGTCAATCAGAGGATGGAACAGCTGAATTTGTTTACCAATGCATACTTTTGTATGTGTATTGGTACTGTTATCCTAATATACTCAAGATACTTGTGCACCCTCATTCAAGAGAAATCATTAGAAAAAATTGAGAGAGATAAATTAGAAAGAAGCCCCTTCATATTCTTTCCTTTTGACATACAAAAACATACAATCAATATTGGGAAAAAATGTTATATTAGTTATCTTTCTTAGCTTGCTTAATGAAAAGGGATGATTAAAATGCAATGTATGCTATTCATGTGGTTACTTTTTAGATGAACTGAATATGCAAGAATGTCTAACTTTCTTTTTATTTTTGTAGTTTAGTTTAAACATATTTTATTTACTCAAAGTAAAATGGATTGGACACAAGTAAACCATACTTATGAAGTCTGCATCCGAATAACAATATATAACAATACAACATTAATATGAGCATGCAATAATCAAAATATACAATACTTTACAAGTCTAGCTATTGAAAAAAGATGAAACAATAATAACGGAAAAATTGGTAATGTACCGCAAATACATTATTCAGTATCAAGAAATCTCTCAGACCTTTAAATAAATTTGAATACATGTTTAAATATCTGCATGTTTTGTTCATGCGAGAATTTTTGTAATACTGTATAAGCAAGTAATTATAAAAACATTGAAAAAAGGCAACAGTGTTCATGGAATTCAAAATCTGTTGCACTTTTTCAGTGTAACTTTTACCTGTCTAACACGTGACACTAGATTTCGAATATTTCAGCCTTGTAATTTTGATCCAGTCCTCTAAAGGTATTTTTTGCACAGGTGTATGCTCGCTAAAAATTGAAAACTAAATTCTTTTTTTCAGGTTTCGAATTTAAGAAAAGAAAGAGAAGCAACAGTTTCAAAAATAAAAAAGGAAACTATTGATGATTCTGAGCGAGTAAGAATTGTTCAGAGAGAAAATGCACAGCTACATATGAAATTAAAAACTTTAAATGGAGAGTTAGAAGAAATAAGAGCACATAGAGAGAAACAAGGGTTTGAGACTGAAAGTCTTACTCGAGTTCAGCAAAAACAAATAACAGAGCATGTAGCCACTGTTAAATCTCTTGAGGTATATTTTTATATCATGTTATATAACTTTCTAAAAATGTACGTCTTGTTTAAAATGGATTAATTTGTTGTATTCATTAATTCAGGAAGAATTAAATATAAATAAGTGATATAGGCAAACATCAATGAAACAGACACTCATAAGCTAAAGGAAATTTAATGAATATATTTTAAAATTGAATGTGTGGATTTAATGTAAGGTCTCTGATAATGAGAGTATGCACATATATAGAATTATAAGTTGTCGCAGGGCTTTCAGAATTTGCATTCTATAAAGAGAAAAAAATGGACAATGCAAAGGATATTATTCATATGGCCTTCTGGCATAGAAGAAGATACATCATCATAATGCAGGGTTTAATTTGTTTAGATGATTTCTTAATTTAAATGAATTTGTTCAGTGAGATTACAGATGAAAAAAATATAAACATACAAAATGGATTAAACAAAGCCCTTCATTACATAGGCATGAAAAACTTGACATTAGAAACCAAAGTTCTGTCATTGAGTCCTTATACCTTTAAATATTGTTTTTTCTTTGTTTTTTTCTATAAATTGTGAGTCATTATTAGAAAAACCAAGCTGTAAGGTTCCTTGAAAATATTGAAAATTGGAACATGTTGACCTTGAGATCTATACTATTTAAGAATTGGACCACATTCAAATCAGTTTTTTTTAAATTTTACTTATATCCTGATGTGTTTTATTACTTAGCCTTCCAACAACCTTATCAATTATAATGAATTCCACTTTCAGGCTGAGAGGGAGTCATTGAAGAAACAAGTTGAACAATTACAGAGAGACTTGGCACTTACAGGTGACACACATAACAAATTGACAGGAAGAATACATGAACTGGAAAAAGACAATGTCATTTTAAAAAATAAAGTGGATGAGGCTATCCATAAAAATAAAGTGGAACTTACCAATCAAAAGATGGACGGGTTGAAACTGAGAGGTGAACTTGAGAGAGATCGTGACAGATTAGCAAACATCATAGAGGGTAGGTATAACAGTAATAATTTTAACTCTTGTGGGTGGGTAAAAAAGAGATTTTTACTTTTGGACATGGGTTGTGGGTTGTTTGTCTATAGCAATGATCAATAATTTTGACAAATTCAATTACTTAATTTGAGTAATTAAATTACTTATTTAGTAATTCAAAGTAATTTATTTTTCAAAATGAAACTAGTAAACAAATTTTGATCTGAAACTGTTATATTGATCTGAACATATATAATAATAATTACTTTATTCATAAACTGAGAATTTATTTAAAAGTATGTATTAAATAAATCTTTGAAGTCTTATTTAATCGTCCTACAAAATAGAAAATCTAAATCAAGATACATATTTCTCTATGGCTTAATGTCAAGTGTCAATTTTTTTAGTAAATAAATTTTAGAAATTTTTTATATATATATATTTCAGATTTGCAGACCAAGATAGAAATTTACAAGCATACTGCAGACCAGCAATCAAGATCTTTACAAGACAAAGAAAGAGATGCAGTAAGAAGAGTACAGGCATCAAGAGAAGAAGAATTTGTCAAATATGCAAAGTTGGAAAGTGAAAAGTAAGAATATGTCATCTTATCTAACAATAGCAGAATAGAGAAGCAAAATGAGAATTTATGTGTTTATTTCTCCCAACTGCCTCTGTGATCTGTGAGTGACATGCTGGTCTTAAATGTTGGTGGTCATGTGTTTGATACCTGGCTGATCGAAACAAAGTTTTGAAAATCAGTATTTGCTGCTTTTCTGATAAACACACAGAATTTAGGAGTGAGAGCAAAGACTTGTTGGCTCAGAGTCAAAACATATGACTGGGTAGGTTGACATGTCTTCCTGCGGACTACCTTAAAAAATCTGACTCAATGTGTTGGTTTAGTACAAAGCAGGGTTCCTATTCATTATTAAACATGTTCTCATCCACATATGCTTGTAATTTTTGCCACTGGATGTTAAGCACCAAATCATCATCACCAATTTCTCCTTCTAGATAAAGTGGTGTTGTCCATGTAGCGCATTATCAAAACATGAAATAGATAAAGATGGAAAAATTAAAAAAAATATTATTACTATTTTCTTTGTTAATGATGCAAGGGTTAATTACTACTAAAAATGCTGCTTCTGTAGCTCTTCCAAAATTTTTATGCCCCCGCCATAGGCGACGGGGGCATTAAAGTGTCACCCTTGACCGTCCTTCTGTCTGTCCGTCTGTTCCATTTTCTTTGTTTGATGCTTGAGCCATTATTCTTCTTTTATTTATTTTTTTATATAATCCTTTTTTTATACTGAAATTATTCATTTAGTAAAATATATGTAATATAAAGTTATAAACAGTTTTGACATCTTTTTATAGTGCATTTGTGGCTTGGACAGAAAATAGCATATCATAAAAAAATCTTTTGCGACATTAATATTTATTATATTATGTTTTGACTCAGTGATATAAAGAATGGACCCACATTATTATGGCAAACTTTAAAGGCCTTATCCACCTGTTTATCCTACTGATTAAAATGTTTTGTTCAAGAAAACACAATTGAATCAGAAGGATACACAGGTGTATAATTTGACAGCATACAGATATTGTAAAAAATCAGCTGGTTTACACAATATGAAATTTATTTTGGCGCTCTCAATTCACACACCTTGGTCACCAAAAAAAGCTACAAATTGTGATTCACAGCTGATATTTATGAAATATATGAAAGGGAAAACATACTTTCTTCTTACTTATTTTTATTTTATAATTCATTTATTTAGATTAGCCTTAGAGGCCAAATTACAAGAAAATGACAGGCGGAAAATTGATGAAGAAGCACATAGACATGCTGAAAGAGAAAAGATGGAGGATAGGATAAGTGCTGCTAATGATGCTAAGAATGTTGCAGAGAGAGAAGTTTTAGTATTAAAGTTAGTATAGACAGACATAAGGCAAAACATGTATAAATGTGTATGCTTAATGTCAGTCTTTTTATTAGGGTGACCATTGTCTTGAAAACATCTAAATGTTTGTTTCAATGTTTCAAATTGAACAATTTATTAAGGGGGAAAAGGGAGGGGTAGCATTTTACATCTTGATCTATATTCTTATATGTCAATGAGATAGCAACCAAACAACAAAAAAGAATTGAGCCGTAAAAAACTATATGGATTTAGAATAAGACATTGCATTAACTGCACTACAAGTATGAAATCTAGTTTGTTATTAAAGCATTTGATACCTTGTGTATAATGAATTAATTAGTAAAGTTACTCAATGTGCAACTTTAAGATAGTTGGGTGAAAAAAAAATTAGAATGTAATGAAAAAAGAAAAGGACTAAAGTGACTTTTATTAGGAAAATCGAAATATAAAAAATACAAGGCTGAGAAATCCTCTTAGAAAAATTAATTAAACTTAAAAGGATAAATAGACAATAACTGTTTAGTGTCTTTAAATATCAGCTGTATTTGTAAGAGGCTAAAAAACAGGTGTAATGCGAGCTTGAGCGAGCTATTACTCCTGTTTCGAGCCGAGTACAAATACATCTGAAATTTAAAGCAACTATCCTACAATTAATTTTGTACATTTTTTTTCCATCCCAATCGTTAAATTTGTTTTTGAAAAAAATCGACATGACTTAAACGCGGAACGCAATGAGGACCCAAAATTGAACTGTGACGTAAACAGTAATTTGACCTAACCATTTGCTCGCAACAGAAGCAGGATACCAGGAGACTATATACGTCTAGTATACATATATCGCTTTGTTTTATCTGTACACCTGTATTAGTATAGTAGAAAGGTCGATTGCAGGAAAAAGGGTAGTAGCATACATTTAATCTAGGAATGATATCAGATACAGTAAAAATAGATTGTGAAGGATTCTTGTTGAAATTCAAATTGTTTAAACCAAACAAATATACAAACAAGTTTGCCTCCTGGTATATAATGAAAGATAACCTATGTTTAAAATAACTACCCATATTTCATGTTCCTATATTTTATTTATCACAGGACCAAAGTTAGTCATCAGCAATCATTGAATGATCAGTTGGAAAGAGAAAGAAGTGAAAATTCAGATTTAAAAAATAAAATTAATAAGTTAGAGACTGAACTCAGCTCATACTTGAATAATGAACATGATATGACTGATGATAATATCAGACTTAGAAATCAAGTAGAATTACTTAAAGAGGAGACTAAGTTAGCTAAAGATCAGCTAAGAAAATTACAAGACAATCATGACTTAATTTTGTCACAGCAACGATCATCTTATACAGACGAGAGGACAGAGCTTGATAACAGAGTACGAGAACTTCACGATAAATTATCTCAAGTGCAGAAAAAGTACCAAAAAGCTTTGACACTTTACAAAAAGGTATGTCATTGTTAAAATGTCTCATCATTTATTTGTGATTTTTAGAGTTAAAAGTGAAAATATTTTGAAAAGTAGGCATATTTTTTTCTCTTAAGCACCTACAAGTTTGAACGATATAATTTACTTGTTAGCAACATTGAACAAACTGATGTATGCTTTCAGATAAAATAGGAAGATAATTCCTAAAGACTAAACAAAATATTAAAATTATTCTTCTCAAAGGAATAACAGTTTTGCTGATAGATAACACCATTGATAGCTGAAATAAAAAGGGTATAATTTTCTAACCACAGTTGTTTTACATTCACTTTTAAGGGTTATTTTATAAGTTTGAAATAGCCTTCCCTTTGATATCACATAGCTATTTTTCTTCGAATTTGTGAAGAGCTAACTTTCACCTACTTGTTAATTTAAATTTTATTAAACTTCAAAGATGAAAGATATTGCTTTATTTATATTCACTTCCATATTTTCCATTTATTATGCAGATAACTTGTGTCTGAGCATGACTACTATATATAAATTATTATTTGATAGGTTTGGATTTATAAGTGTGTAAACATTTAGACATTTTAAGAGTGGACTACTTTTAAGGAATCTTTGTTTTTGTCGTATACTGTATGCAAATGAAATGAATAACTACAATAACATGTAAAATTTTTGTTTCAGTTACGCAGTAAAAGTCATCGTGTAGTAGAAAATTTAAAAGATAAACTGCAACTGACAGAAGCTAAATATGAACAGTTAGATCTGGAAAAGAAAGCTTTAGAGTAAGAATCATAGTAAACTTATAGCAATTATTATTTTGTTTTTTAAGTAACTAATAAAAGTTGATTATTCTTCACCAATAAAAACTGGCCATCAGAAAACAACTAATAGTACTGAAAGTGGCATTAAACACCAAAAATCAATCAATCTTTATTCTTCAGTTTGCCTATTATAATTATGCTTCAATATTTAAGGTTTCAAATGAGATTATATTAGCTGCATAGGGAAATGAAAAGTTATTGGAATTTTTTTCTTCAAATGCCAGTTACTCCTGTTTTCATATACATTTTACCTTTTTTTCTCCAGAAAATGTGTGCCTCAAGAGAATTACAACAAACTGAAAAAGCAATGGAAAGATTTATACCGACGCCATGCAGAGTACAGGAAATGTCTGATTGGTGGCGGTACTGTATCTAATGTACCCATTGGGGATATGATGTTTACGTCCTTTAATGTTACACATGATGCTACATTCTTACCTAATTATAGTTTTTCTGAAGAGGTGAGAGATTTGTTTAAGGGTTTGTGTAGCAACTCAATCAACTTGTTTTTATGGATCAAAGTATATCCGAAATGGTCCATAATTTTAATTTTTTTTTAAGTAAATACAAGATGTTGATTTTCAATTCCCTATGTAGATCTTTCTTTTATTCTAAAAGTATTAGAAGTTTTCTCCTTTCAAGCAGAATTCACAACCAAAATTTAGAAAGTTAACTCTTTAAACCTATTAAAATTTATTGAAGGGTCCCAATGATCTACCCAATGCTGCTTTCAAAGTTGAAAGGAACATTTGTATGCATAGTTTTGAAAAAAAGTAAAATAAATACAGATATAAGGGTGCCGATATTTTAAAATTTACACTTATCAACAATGAATTAATACTTGATAAATCAAATTATACACACTTAATTCAAAAATCATATATACTTTTACAGTTTAAAAAGTAGATAGTATAGCATCTCTTTTTCAAGGTAGGATTGCTGCTTTACATATTTATAAATGTTCTTTCTTTTAAAGGGGATTTTTCTTGGACTTTATACAAATGGACATGTAACAGTAGTCTTTCAATTATTATGCAGTTAAAAAAATAAATACACTGATGAATTGATTTTGATTTAAGAAAGTTGTTTATTCTGATTAAATTTATTTAATATAATATTACTCAAGACTTTAGATAAAAATGTCTTCTACAAATTATTTATCATTTTTTCTATTGGCTAATTATAATTAATGTTACCAATTTTTAAGTTCCAGTATTTGTATCAAGTTGTGTGTTGTAGATTTTCAGCGTTTTTTTCTGTATAAATCTGTATAAATTAGGTTAGCAAGTTCATGTTTTATCTTGAATAGTTTCTTTTAAGCTGGGAATTTTTTTTTATTAGTTGTGGTAAAGAATAGACTTATCAGTGACTTGGAAATTGGATTTTAATATTCAGATCTGTTTTAATTAATGGTCTTTGATTTTAAACTTTCTGCTTCTTTTAATTTTTTTTTTAATTTATACTTAATATTTCTTTCGTTTGGGGGGATGTCTAGATAGAGCTGTTTGTTTGAAATCCTTTTTACATTTTCCTAAAACAATATGGTAATTTGTCCTTGATATGGTTGAAATAGACTCGCTGAACATCACAATCAACCATCCATTCATTCATTCATTAATTCATCATTTTATAAAAGATAGAAAATACTGTTGCTTGCAAGAAAATGTAAACCTGTCCAAGAGGAAACTCAGTTTATAATAGCATGTTGTTACCACTGCATTTTCATATCACTTTGTTAAACTTTTCACTTAATATTCTGCTTATCCTTGACATTATATTATACAGAAAGTCTTTCCCATACAGACCCTGATGAGATACAAAAATTATGTACAACTAGAGAAATAGACTTGTTTGAGTGTATCACTTAGACATATGATTGCTTGTGATTTTAATTGATAACGCTCTGATTTATAACCCTATCATGTGATGTCTGTTGAATATACATAGATAATCAAAAGATTCACCAACAGTCACTAGCGTTCCCTGTGAAAAATCCCCACCAAAGATGCTCTTTAACCAAGTTTTATTACAAAACAAATTCAGTTATTAATATGGGACGGTATGGTGGTTAGATGTTGCCACTGTTTCCGTGCAACAACTTGAGAACTGTTCAAGAAATCATTTTCTGAGTTTGATTATTTTGTATCCAATGACAAAACGGAGGTCAAGTTTTATAGTGTCCACATTTACTGTTCAAGAGTAACATCCTTGATTGATTGAAAAATGGGGCTCTATGTCAATTCTGTGGTATAACTTGAATACCATTGAACTATAAAACTCTTTTCAGGAATTATAGTTGGGATATTAGGCTGTCAAACTGATGAAATTCACATTTTTCTGTTCTACTGTCCATTAAAATTGAAATCATTGAAAAAAAAAGGAATTGCTGTTCTTTTGCTGGTGGTTTTGTTTCCTAAAATTCTGTAGCAACATAGAGAAATGATAGCTAACTCAGTCCTATCACTTGTTCTGAAAATATCCAAGTGATTTACAGTATATAATATGTTGAGGATTTAATTTGTAGGTCTGCTTTTGATTGATGAACGTTAATTCTGACAATTTTAGTAAGATGATCTTTTTTATTGAGGCATGTTGGAAGGCAAATTTTTAATTAACGCTTTTGAGTGTAGTATTAAATATCCACTCTTATTATAATCATTTATTTAAAATCCTGCGCTGCTTTTATTTGCAAATATGGTTCAGTATTCACTACTTCAAATGATTAAATATAGCAGCCACTAATGAATTTTTAATACATGCTGTTGACTCTCTTCCAAAGGAATCTAGATATTAAAAAGATTTTCTGTTATAAATCATTTTAAAAAATTTTTACACATAGGGTTGTGAAGAGCCAAAATAAATTTGAAATAACACTAGAGTCGAGACAATAGAGTAATATCAAAATTTATGCACTGGGACATAATGTTTTCAGTCTGTATGATGTTTAAGTTTAAGTGTACCTTGATGTTATGGTCACATCAACTTAAAATTTTGTACACATATTCATTATGATGTTAACTTTATGAAATGTATACCATATTTGGGCTTTTACCTAGATTATACATTGAACATTAAATTTGAGAATTAGCAGGGCATGGTGTCCTATGGAAACATATTCTTGTTAGATACATGTTCAAGGTTCTTTGCATGATACAGACACTTCTAAAATGATACCATTCTTGCTTTTCGTGTATAATAAATTCTCTCCATTTATCTCCATATTTCATATATAATAAATTCTCTCCATTTACCTCCATATTTTATGTATAATAAATTCTCCCCAGTTACCTCCATATTTTATGTATAATAAATTCTCCCCAGTTACCTCCATATTTCATGTATAATAAATTCTCTCCATTTACCTCCATATTTCATGTATAATAAATTCTCCCCAGTTACCTCCATATCTTATGTATAATAAATTCTCCCCAGTTACCTCCATATTTCATGTATAATAAATTCTCTCCATATTTCATGTATAATAAATTCTCCCCAGTTACCTCCATATTTTATGTATAATAAATTCTCCCCAGTTACCTCCATATTTCATGTATAATAAATTCTCTCCATTAACCTCCATATTTCATGTATAATAAATTCTCCCCAGTTACCTCCATATTTTATGTATAATAAATTCTCCCCGGTTACCTCCATATTTCATGTATAATAAATTCTCTCCATATTTCATGTATAATAAATTCTCCCCAGTTACCTCCATATTTTATGTATAATAAATTCTCCCCAGTTACCTCCATATTTCATGTATAATAAATTCTCTCCATTTACCTCCATAGTTCGTGCTAAAACAGCTATCAAAAATTTGTCAAACTGTTTTCTATATAATGGATTAATTTTTTCCATGAATCTGTGAAAAGAGTCAAATCAATGCAACAATTCATTCCTGTGTACTATACAATAGGTTGTTGAGGCGGTATTTTTTATCTTTTACCATTTAACATGGAATTTGTAGGAATAAGCAAAGCATCTGTTGGACTTTTTTTCAAATGCAGTTGATTGGTTTAATTTGTTCACAAGAACAGTCAAAATTTGAAAATTTTGTGTCTTCAAAACTAGTTTCGTTTTTAGAAATGGTGGTATCCATGACAAAGTATTCCAAGAAAATTTGCATTAGTAATATTTCCCTTAAATGATAAAAATGCTAAAGTATACCTTCCTTATATTTAGAAAAAAAAATGCCACAGGATACCTCCTTAAAATGAGAAACATGTGACTGTATTCTGAGCCATTACTCTTATCAGACACTATACAGGTTGAATTTTATATTGAAAATCAATTATTCAATAAATATAAATACAATACTGGTATATTTGTTAAAATTAAATGAACAAACCAGATTTAACAAATTTGTTGTCAAGTATTGCAATTTCGTTAGTACATATTTGTATATTTCTTATTTCAGGAAAGAAAACATCAAGATGATTTGAGAATTCTAAAACAGAGACTAGAAATGGTTGAAAATAATCAACAACATCAAATTGAAGAACTCCAGGAAATTGCTCACAGTACCTTTAAAGGATCTTTACCTGGTTTAGATGATCATGATGGAACATTAGAAAACAGCAAAGAGAAAAATGACATTGATAAGTCTAGCTGATACATGCCTATTTATTGTTCAGAATTTTGATAGAATGATGAAAAAGTACCATACTGATTGACAGTTGTACTAATTGTATTTCAAGACAACGCACCAATGTTGATGTTTAGTTGGGTATGGGTTCTTTTCTTCAACATAGCTAATAGTCAATACTGAACTGAGCTCAATGTTTTTCTGGAGGTAATTTTCAAGACAACATTTAAAAGTTAATTCTTTGTAATCATGAATATACCATGACTTTCAGTAAATGTTAATTGATTTGGTATTCTGAATGGTGAAAGTAAAGCATATCTTTATGACAAGGAAACAATTCAATCTACAATTTATTGATATCTTGAAAGTACTGTACGTTTATAATTGGATGCTCTGTTTAGTGCTTCGTGTATTGAAGATGATGATTTCATTGGATCTTGGACAGTGACTTAATATTTGTATTTCACTGGTTATTAAATTATGTTGCTTACAAAATCACCAAATCAAAGAATACTTGTAAATGAACTTTCAACTCATAAAGAAGCATAAAGATTTATTTCATGAAGCTTTGAAACCTACCTAGTAACTTTTCCATCATACTACACCATAACACGTCTGTATTTACCTGTGATATTTTTGATATTTTACTTCTTAGGTTGTATGTTATACTCAACATAGATACATGTACCTGTGTATTGATTTTACCTCATTGTTAGGGTGTATAATGTCATACATGTATATTCATATACATCTACACAACTTTTATCTCGTCATTGTTGTTTTAATGTGTTTTTTAGTTCCTGTTTCCTTTCATCCTGTTTGTGCCACAATGTAGAACATACTATTGGATTAATTGTTTAATTGTTGAAAACTTGTCTCTTCCATACTATGCATGAAATATACATATATATATACATGAAAATGAAATTTGGCAAACAACAATCTTGATTTAAATTACATCTATGGGTTAAATAGAAACTTCCTCAAAACAATACATTATTTTAACTGTGATGACTCCATAATTAATTTATCCAAGTAAATATAGGAAAATAGGAAACATAAAATAATGTTACTTTAAGATCATAGTGTCATATCACTCACTTTCTCTGTTGCACTCTAACCAATACTTATCCTCATAAGTTAATTCCTGATGTAATATAAATATTTTTGTATAGTTTCATCGTATTTCATTATATTTTCTTACTGTTAATTCCACATTGTCTAATCAGTTGTGCTATTCCTTAAATTAATTCTATGTGCATTCTAAGTCAGCATTTTAAAATGTATTTGCTATTTTATGATTTGTATATTAACTTATTAAATTATATATTTGCATATAAAATATCCAATAAATAACAAATATAAATATTAGATGGTGTTTTCCCTATTTTGCCATGTTTTAAGATGAGGCATAAAAAGTAGATCAGTTTCTGATGTTTTTGGCTGCATCAGCATAAAAAAACTTGTTGAACTTTGTGATTATTTCATTTTAAGGGGAACATAAATGGTCAGTCAATGATATTTGGTATGCTGTTGCATTATCATTGGCACATCTCATTTGAAAGTATTTGGCCCCCTCCTTGAAACTTTTGAATAGTTGACATGTTAAAAGTTTGGATTTAGGTCAGTTTCCACATAAATTATCTGACCCTACACCCTCAGTCATGATGCCTTGACAAAAAAATTCATAGTTTACATGTTGAAGTGATTCCATTTTCATTTCATCATTGTACTTCAAAATTACATACAAGGAAGACTCATTTTTTTGCAACAGTTTATTATGGGTTTGTTAATGGGAAAATGAGAATGCAAGACAAAGAAATGCGAATCCGCCAGAATCAGGGTTAACTCGTAGCGTAAAGCTATTTAAATGTAGATGGTGGAAGACCTTCATATTTTGTATTCTGATGTCTGTTCTGAATTATTATTTCTGGCATGTCTGTTGTCCTTGGCATCTTTTTCATGGTTCAGCAACTGCTTAAAAAACTAGTTTATTGTTCATTGAGTGTTTCAGTAATTATATTTATTGCTGTTCTTCATCTCAAAGTCATAGTGGGTGATGCCATCAACATAAAGCAAAAAATCACTTCACTACAATTTCAAACCACCCACTAGTAATGGTTTATGCAGAATTCTTTCCAAGATATTATGGACCACTAAAAATCACCAAACATCTGTTCATTAAAGAACACAGCTGTGGGGAAATATCGACAAATCATACATTATATTTGGCAAAGAAATATAATAAATAGCCTGACAATATCACCAAACATTTAGACAACCACAGAGCATGTCAAGATATATCTTATATAACTTCAGAATCTGAATTCAGGCTAACAGAAAATATTGAGACACCATTTTACATTCGGCAGATTATACTGATGAAGGATGTTTGTTATTTGAAATATCTTGAATTTTGTTTTTATTACTTGATATTCAGGTGTTCTATTCAAAAGAATCACAACTATATACAATATCATTTAAACAGTAAAGAGTTCATCTTGGTCAAGTGTACAATGACATTGAATGACTTTGTGTGATCATATTATATACCTCCTTAACTGAGCCTCTGAGGATGGATTGTGAAATAATATCTACTGTAGAACCAATGTGCAACTTTTTCAATGATTGAAAAAAATCTTGTAAAATTGCCAGTGTTTATATAACAATAAGAAACATGGGGTATAGAATTAGCTGCCACATATGAAATTTGGATTTTATGTTAACTATTTTTGCTTTACTTTATACTGTAAAATGGTTTATTTTCACAGAATTAAAATTTATAGTTTTTTTCAAGGTCAAAATTTGTCTGTAGGTTTTATAAATTAGTTTTTGTTATCCTTGATCCTGCTCCTCCTTAAAGATCAAATTCATGCAAAGGTTTATTTTCCTTGATACATATACCATAAGTTCAAGTTGACTTGATTTTGTTGTAAAATACTAAATGAATTGCATACATAGAACATGAGGAACCATCTGATGGAGTATTGGGGTATCATTATTATTCATGGGATACCATAAAATAAAAGAACAGATTCCAAAAGGTCTTTACATATTTATCCAACCAAGGGCAATAACTTGAAAAAGACATTTTTTGTTCTTTTAATTTTGTTATAAATATTTTAAAGAAATGTATGCTTGCATTCACTAACAATGCAATTTTCCTTATTGTTAATAAATTCAAGGGGCATACCTCTTTTAAAAAAAAAATAGTTGATCGGCTTAGATTTCCAACTAGCCATAGACATTGCTGATATAAACCTTTGTTATAAGTTTGATAAAAAACTGTCAAAAATTGTACATGTGAGAGTGTTTACATTGCAATTTTCAACATCATAAATATTTCAAAGGGGCGTCATTCTTTTAAAAATAGTTGATCAGCACTCATTTTTAAATTTGTCCAAGATATTGCTGATATAAACCTCTGATATAAGTTTGATAATAATCTGGAAAGTATGTACACGTGTGAGCGCTTACAAGACCTTAAAAATGGACAGACTGACACACTTACAGACGGACGAACGGTATTTCTATGTCCCCTGCAGTGTGTCACATGGGAGACAATAACACATAGCTGAGAAGATGATAGAGCAGATTAGTATCCCTGGAAAGAACATTGTCAACCTTGGCTTTGCATCGTTTGACGTTTCCTTGGAGTAGCAATTTTCTTTATCACCCTCTCAGCTATGTGTTATTCATATATTGTACTATCAAATTACTCAATGTTATCTATATGAGCACGACATATATATTAAAAAAAAACAACTAAAAAATGTTTGTTGGTCATAGATGCTCCAGCCTTAAAACAATTATTTTGCAGGTATCCTATGAAAATTAACCAAGGTCACTCCGGGGTAAATGTACTCCTTGACATGGGTGTTTCCATATACAAAATGCCATAAGAATAAAAACTTCAATAGTTATATGTATCCTTGAAATGAATCATTTATGTTTGTATCAGACCATTCCACATTTTTTGTTTTCAACAGGCATGATTTTATTTTCATGCTACTCTTTTCACAAAAAAACTCTTACAATAAAAATTGATCATAAGTTATACTGAAATGTGTATGACTTAAAAGAGTAATTTTTTTGTTTTTGTGAAAAGAGCCTCTGCCTTGTAACTTTTTGATGTCTATCACTGATCAAATGCCAAGATATATGTATATAAAACTTAAGAATAAAAATTTATTATTGCACACTCCCAAACTAAACATATTTTTGACAAATCCTGTCATAGGTATTCATTACAACACACTCACAAACATTATTACGATACCAATGAGATCACTACCCTTGTCACATAATGAGTTTAAAAACTCTCATCAATCATTTTTGAGATCACTGTCCTCACCATACTGATGTTTCTCAACATCATTTGATTCAAGACTATCATCACTATCATGATCATCATGTTTATCATGATTGGTATCACTGTTAACATGATCACCTTTAAGACTATCATTATCATCATAATCATTTTGTAAACTATCATTGAATACTTTGTCCTTTCTAAGACTATCATTATGATCATGACCCTGATTATCTTTGAGACTATCATTATCACTTTCGTCAAGATTAAGACTGTCATTATCATTATTATCATGATCTAGACTATCCTCACTTTTGTCTTCTTTATCAAAAGAATCATCATCATAGATAAGTTCATCGTCATCATCATCTCCAAAAGTCTGTTCATTTAAACCAATCTTTTGAGACTGAGCCACTGCTTGAGCTGCTAACATGGCACTGAACGACAGATTAGCTCCTGATAACCTTTCTAACCTATCTTGCACATCATCCTGTCTCCCAAGAACAGGAAGTGCAATGAATTGTGGGCCAGTAATAGTTTCTGTACTATTGTTCATCTCATCTTCTGGAGGACAATAAACATACTTCTGTTTTTTAGGTCTGATAATACTTTCAGAAATTTGATTCCTTTCGTACTGACTTTGACTGTCAATTGTATTTATTGAATCAAATGAATTTACAGTGACTTCAGAATTCAAATTCTCTTTATTCTTATTACTAGGTATGACTACTCTTTCAGCATTTAGATTTTCATAATCTTGAACCTGTATTTCACTATCGTCTTTCTGTGTAAATTCTATATTTGTTCTTTCTTTCTCTTTTAATTTCTCCTTTTGATTTAAATCCTTATATTGATTATCTGATTTGGATTCCTGTGAAGAACTTTCAACTTTATCATTTTCTATATTATTGTGACTTTGGGTTCCTTTTGACTTTTCAAGAGCAACCTGTTCTCGCTTGGCAGTATCCTGAGCTCTGAATGATATCACAGATTTTAATTCTGTCAAAACTCTTAATGCTTCTTCTTTTTCTCTCTTTTTCTTTGCCTACAAATATAAACAAATAAGGCTTAAAACTTTCTAAGGAAGGACACTACAAAGGTGAGGGAGAAAGGGAAACGTGGTAGCTTGAATTTCCCCTGTCTAGCAATAAGATTCATAAAAATTTACAAATACATGTGTATATATATATATATATGCCATCAGATCGGGTTAGAATAATATCTGATGCACTGAGCTAGAAGAGTGCTACATTGGGTAATTTTTCTTACTGATTTATAAGATAAACATTTCAATGACAATCAATTTTCATAGCAAAATATTAGATGAAGAATAAAAAGAACACAAGAAGTTTTAATTTCTTTTAATCATATATTAAGTTAATTTTGAGATTATGCAGTTATCAAGTTCTATCTGAACTTAAGGCAATTATTATGAAACAGTCTATTGACTGCTGGTTCTTAAATAAAAATAATTAACTTTATACCTTCTCTTCTGGACTAAGGAATTCATCCCATGTATTCTCTATCAAGTCTTCATCATCCTCATCATTGTATGCTTCAAACACCTGTAATACATAAAGTTGTGTATTTATATATGAGAACTTGATAAGACAGATTTAATATTTGAGGCAGTGCATTTATAATTTGTGGGAAAAAAAGTTTTTTCACTGTATAATCATTGCAAAATGTGTCAATTTTTCAAAACCTGTAGCTTGAAAACAAGCTCTTGGTGACCTATAACTTTTTTTAATCTGTAATTTTTAGTTTATAACCCCATACTTTTTAAATTACACAAGGTTTAAAAATTTGACACTTAGATTAAACAGCCCCTAAAAATGAGATAATTCCTTTGAAATTTTCATCATTTCCAAAATTATGCTACTATCAATTTAAAGCATCCATAAATATATTATTAACAATTTTTTTAAGTATTGTTACATGACATACACCTTGTGAACACAACTCCTCTGAGTCTGTTCTACAGAAACCTCTCATAATTGGTTGAATTGTTTGCCGTAATGTCTGATTGATCATATTATACCACCATTTTGATTCAACC